CTACGAGGTCACCACGAAGCCTGGGCCTGCACAGACTGCCTTTATGGGGGCGCTGGGCCGAGTTGAAAATGAAACAAGTGCACCCCCTTGCTGCTGTTTTATTTAGGGGTTCCGGTTGGCTTGGACTCGGCTCTTAGAGGCGGCTGGATTTCCTCTGGGAACCGGGCGTAGGGCAGCCCCGGAACCCAGGCTTCGCCTCCTCCTGCCTCTAGCACGGGCGGCTGGTCCCCACTTACCCACACTCGCAGGGAGGTGGCCGATGCTGCTCCGCAAGGTGGTGAGCCCTGAGCGCGCCTCCTGCTGCACACTGGCGTTGAGGGTGGCCACGCCCAACTCCTGGCCATTGATCACCCCGATCATGCTGCCCCGGCCCCCCCGGGGCTCCCCTGGGAGGAAGGAAGAGAACAACTGTGACATTACCCACCTCTGTGCCCTCAGTATAAGCAGCTACTGTACCTGTTTCCCGAAGGAGTCATCTGAGGCTCAGAGAGGTGAAGGAACTTGCCCAAGGGCACCCAGCTAAGGGGTGATGTACCAGCTTCTAATTCTGGCTCCGCCATCACCTTCCTGGAAACTTGGCCTGTCAGGCCTCCAAGCCACACTTGAGTTGGCTTGTCTATCAAATGAGGGGGTGGGACCAAAGATGTGCCCCAAACCTGTTGGCATGCTGGAGGAGCCAGGCCGAGGGGCAGGGCACCGAGCCAGGTGCTGAATGCCACCACCGGCATGTCCCCCATTCCAACAGTGGCCCTGGCTCCAGCCGCCCTGCAGCGGACCTGGCTGGCGGGTGGATGGGGGGGTGGGGGCGGGGGGTCTGGGTTTGGAGGAGCCGCCAGGCTGTCTGCAAGCAGACGCTCTTCCGCACTAATCGGATGGACGGCGTGGGCACAGGGGCCGCTTCCTCTGGCTAATGGGCCAGATGCCTCGCTCGGCAGATGGCATTCCAGGGGGAGAGAGACAGAAGGTAGCCTGCCTCGGCGCTCACCAGCTCTCCGGGGAAATTAGCAACAAATTGCCCACGATCTGTCCAAAAACATAACATCACACAGAACCGCCAGGCTCCTAATCGGGTGAATTCGGGGCTGGGGAATGTTGGAGTCCAGGAAGCGGCGCCGTGTCCTGCAGCCCACAGCCGGGGTCTGAGGAGATGACGCCCAGCAGGGATGTCTCTGGTCAGTATCTGCTGCCCCGAGTTCATGGCGGGGCCAGGAAGAGGCATGAACCGAGCCTTGGCCTTGTCATGAGGGGCTGAGGCAGAAAGTGGGAGCTGCAGGTAAGAGAGCAACAGCACGGCCCCTGGGAGCTTTTAAAGGGGTGGGGGGCTGGAGGACAGGAAGGACAAGCCACTGGCCACTTTCTCCGACATGGGGTGACTCGGCAGCCTCTTGTTTCCCACAAGGCCAGGATGGGCCCCCCAAGACTCATGGAAAAGGAGGGAGAGAAGACAAGACCATAGCGGGGGGGCCTCAAAGCCTTTGCACACCATTTACCTGGCGATGCAGCTTGAAGAATTATTTTTTTTCCCCTTGAAGAAATTTATCCTGTAGAAAGATTCGGGCCAGCACACAGGGTGTGCACACAGTGTGGTTTGGGGGGGACATCGGGAACAAACCTGGGGCTTATTCCACAAAGCCGGCAGCAATGGCGTTGGGAAATGCTGCCGTGGAATGGCCGGGAGCCATGAAGAAGGTGTGGGCCGGGCTTACTGTCATGGAGCGCCGGCCGACACCGGAGCCACGGCAGGTGGTAAAGACGCCTGTCCGTGTGATCTCAGTCGTAGAAAGAAAAGCCTCTCTCTTTATATTTGGAGAAAAAGAGGGTAGAAAGCTATACCCCAAATAACCATGGCCAAAGCCATTTCTGGTCATTGAATGGTGAGAGATGATTGATCATTCCTTTTCCTTCACAGATTTTTCTAAATCCCCAGGCCTTTCTACAACGACCATATATGAAGTAAAAAGCAGTTGTTTTCATTAAAAAGGTAAGGAGACCCTGGCGGCGTGGCTCAGTGGTTGAGCATCAACCTATGAACCAGAAAGGTCACAGTTCGATTCCCTGTCAGGGCACATGCCCAGGTTTTGGGGCTCAATCCCTGGTGTGGGGCGTGCAGGAGGCAGCCGATCAATGATTGTCTCTCATCGTTGATATATTTCTCTCTCTCTCCCTCTCCCTCTCCTTTTCTCTCTGAAATCAATAAAAATATCTTTTAAAAAATATAAATAAAAAGGTAAGGAGGCCATTATGTCCCCCTAAAAAGGTTTGTTGGGTTTTTCTAAATGGCAGCAGAGTAAGTGGGTTTCAAGTGGGGAAGTGTCAAGTCCCAGTTCTAAGTGGTCCTGAGCTGCTGCCTGGAACAGGGTTCTGTGGGGAAGGAATCTGCATCGTGTGCAGCGATAGATTAGTGATGTCTGCCATGGACGGGGCCGGAGATAGAGCCCCAAATGTGGAGTATTTACAGAACAACAGACGCCCAGAAATAATACTCAGTGGCTTTCCACCAGTCAGGCTGGGCCATGTTATGGTTTCTCAGGATAGTCATCTTCTCCGTTTTAAAGTCTGGGCTGCCCCACGGGAGAAGGATGCTGAGGAGGCCGACCGGCAGGGGTGGTACCGCTGGGAGCAGCAGTGGTTGCCGGGCACCCACCCGGCCAGGCAGAGCTGCCAAAGAGAGGACCTGGGTCTGTGCCAGGGGAGCTGGAAGAGCCCACGTCCCCGGTCCGACAGGAGCTGCCAACACGGAGCATCTCAGACCCTCGGTTCTCTGACTGCACAGGGAAGGGCAGACGCCATGACCCCCGAGGCCCTCCCAGCTGCTTCGTTCAATGTTTGTGACTCTCAGCAAAGAGAAGAGTCGGGGAGCGAGCAGGGCAGGGGGCCAGGTCCCCCACAAACCACACACAGATCCCCATTTTGCGGAGATCCCGCCTTGGCCCACGGTCTGGGCAGGGCCGCCTCGTACCTTTCACAACCAAGGACGCTCGGGCTGTGGCAGAGCCCAGGAGGTTGTGAGCGACGCACTCGTATGTGCCCGTGTCCCTCGTCTCCACGCGCTCCAGCCACAGGCTCCCATCCGGCAGGGTCCGCAGCCGCCGGCCGGCCCGCAAGGCTGCCCCGCACGCAGCCACTCCACCGTGGGCGCCGGCTCGCCGGTGGCCTGGCACCGCAGGGCCACGTCGTCCCCGGATCTCACTGTCACGTCCTGGGCTTCCACCTGGAACACCGGGGCGCCTGTGGAGGCCCAGGCAGTTTTTAGGAACATTTTATTCCTTTCAGATATTCAAGCGATACATGCTCATTTCAACAGAATAGAAAGCATAGAGGCAGAAAGGCAGAGAGAATCACAGATGATCCCCAGGCCAATGCCCTTCCCATATTGCCTTCTAGATACTGTTTCCTTGTGGGAATGTGACCATAGTACCGGCGTGGCTCAGTGGCTGAGAGGCTGAGCGTCAGCCTATGAACCAGGAGGTCACAGTTCGATTCCCGGTGAGGGCACATGCCCGGGTTGCGGGCTCGATCCCCAGTGTGGGGTGTGCAGGAGGCAGCCGATCAATGATTCTCATCATTGATGCTTCTATCTCTCTCTCCTTCCCCCTTCCTCTCTGAAATCAATAAAAATATATTAAAAAAGGAAAGAATGTGACCACAGTGTCCTCCCTCCCCCTCCCTCTCTCCCTCTCTCCATTCCTTCCTCCCATTCTAGTATAGATCATGACTCCCTTTCATGTCACTGAATATTCATCTCCGGGAGCTGCATGGTGTTGCGTGGTTGGCTCCATCATGGCTCCCTTAGCCGCGCCCTATCGTAGGACATTCGGGTCGTTTCCAATGAAAGGGTGACCCTCGCCGGTGCTGCCTGTATTTGATGCCACATGAAGCGGGCAGACTCGGCTCTGGCCCTGGCGAGCGCTTCTCACCAGGTCACTGCTTCACCCTCGGTTTCTCATCCGAGACGGCCCCCTAATCTCAAGATCCTTAGCGACATCGGCAAATGTCCTTTCTCCAAACACGGTCGCACTCCCGGGTCTGGGAGGTTAGGACGGGACCGTCTTTGGAAGCCATTTAGGAGCCGACCACGGGAAGTGTCCCCGGAAGCCGAGCACGCGTGTGGTGTGTGACCCAGCAGCCCCCCTGGGTCAATGCCCGGAAAGAGATGTCTGTGCGTGTTCGCCACAGACACGCATGAGAATGCCTCCCCCGCTTTGTCCCAACCGCCCCCAACTGGAGCCCCCTGCCGCAGCACACACACACACATTCTGGTTGACCATATCGCGGAGAGGAAATGCAGCCACGGACATGAGTACACGGACCCCCTGGGCAGTCTCCCCGACAAGCCTGTGCCCCAGGAGCGTGACACGGAGCACGTGACGGGGCTCGCCCCATACAAGCCACGGCCTTGGCGCAGCTTTCCCTGGACGCCCACTCACACTGTCCACCCAGGGCCCCGAGCGGGGAGGCGGGCACTCACTCTGCAGCAGGAGGACCACCACTTTCTCCACGGCGCCCATCTCATTCTCTGCCAGGCACTGGTACCGCCCCGAGTCGCCCATCTGCAGGTGGGCACAAGAGGGGGACATGGTGTTCAGGAGGACGAGGGGGGAGGAGCAGCTGGGCACAGCGGGGCACAGAAAGGGGTGTCTGGAACCAGGCCCATCTAACCAGGAAGAAGCTTAGAGCCTAAACCAGCCAGGGGCTCACAGACTCCTCACAATGTCACATGAGAGGGGCCTTCATGGCCACTTGTCAATCGACATCCAAAGAGAATCCCTCCCCTTTCACTCCTGGAACCTGGGGGGGAGGGGGGGAGGACTGAGGCCATGGACTCGCTGGGGAGATGCGTGCTGCAAAGATGACGTAGGGTGCCTCTCCCAAACGTGTACATTGAGGTATTATCACTCCATGGTGCGTGCTGAGGGATTCCTTTAGAAAGAAGAGGTCCATGGTCGATAGGTGTGGGAATACTGATGAGCAAGAAGGCATCCAAGCAGCAGGCCTTCTCAGGGCGTTTACGGGCCCATTTGCACTGCCAGCTCCCCAGGGAGGAGGTGGGTGGCAGCATTTCCCCACTGAGTGGCAGGGAAGCTGTTTTCACAGGCACCTGACGATGGATGGTGACAGCTCACTTCTGAGTGGAAGCTCTGCCCCAGGACAGAGCTCAGGGCGGCCTGTGGCCACCGTCCATGCCCAGAGATGACACCACAGAAGCCACTCCTGAGGGACTGTCCACCAGAGGGCCGCATTCAACACACCCTACAAGGGTGACAGCCCTCTAGGACTGTCCACTGGGTTTTCTTTTCAGAACTCATTACTAGGTGCTGTTACCAGAATACACACAAGAGGGCGCTATTGAAACACCCCCTGACTAGAGTGCTGTTCTCCGAATGTCCAAAGGGGGTGCTATTGCGCCTATTCCCATACTAATGTGCCACAGAACAAGTGGATGCCACACAGACAAGGTCCCAGGACCAAACTCGAATTTCAACTAAATTACAAAGCAATCACCCTGAAGTGAGTGATCAGAAGGCAGACACCTCCGTTTCCTGTGCTGAGTCATTCCCTCACGCTGGGGAGTGTATCTTTCTCAGGCAGACCATTGCTGCCCAGGAGGTTTTTCCCCGGGGGGAAGACAGTTGACCTACCCCCATGGTCGGCAAACTGCGGCTCGCGAACCACATTCGGCTCTTTGGCCCCTTGAGTGTGGCTCTTCCTATGCCTTAGGAGCGGCCTCTTGAGTGTGGCTCTTCCACAAAATACCACGTGTGGGCATGCACATACAGTGCGATTCAAAAGAAATTTCAATCGTTGTACTGTTGATATTTGGCTCTGTTGACTAATGAGTTTGCCAACCACGGACCTACCCTATTGGAAACACACCTAGCCCCACGGTGTGGAGTTTCTGAGGACCATTAAGAAACTGAGAATAACCATTAGCCTCCAGGCAGAAGCAATTGCCCCACCCTGTTAGAAAACCTCTCACCACACCTGTGGACAATAGCCTGAGGGCTACTCAAGACTGAATCCAGCACTTCAGTCTGCAGGCAGAGGCCTCTGGATGCTTTGGGTCTTTGCCTGATCTAATTAGTCAGAAAAAGCGTCTGACACTGTCCGGCTCTAGAGATTGAGAGGCATAGCTGATCTCAGACTCCTAGAATTCATTACCAGGGTGTTGTTCTCAGAATATCCACAAGTGGGCACTATTGCAACACCTGCCTGCACACAGTTAAAAGTGTAGGCTTGGGGGTCAGACCCATATGGGACGAAATCTCGGGCCCATTGTTAACCATGCTGAAGCCACTACTAGACATCGCCATGTTTCTGGGGCCTCAGTTTCCCCATCTCTAAAATGGGGATAACAACTGCTAGGAATGTTGTGGCATCAAAAGAAATCATAGCCATCGGTGCCTGGTACATATGTGGTACAGCCTCAGGTCATAGTAGTCATTATTCCTGCTGCGGTTACGGCTACTGCGCTGTCAGTACCAGTCCTATGATTATCACTATCTAGGGACAGGCTCCCAAAGGGGCAAGATCAAGGACCCCTAAGATGAGCTTGACAGGAGTGAATGGTGGATTTCTGCATGACCATGGGGCTTGGGACACAGAAGGGAAGGTGTCTGCCCAGCGCACAAGGCTTTGGAAACTGCATGAAGTAGGAGTCAGGAGAGCTGGGTATGCTGCTGCCTTGGGGGCTCCCTGGCTGTGGGCCTCTCTGAGCCTCGGTATCTTCCTCTGTAAAATGGGGCACTCTTACCCGTCTACCCTGCCCCATGGGGTTGTTGTTATTAATAACCTTTACTGCCACCACCGAGGGGCCAGTCACTCCTAAATGCCTGGTAGGGGTCCTCGCACTGATTTCTGACTGTAAAGCTGTGAGGGAGAAATGATCGCTAGTCCCATCAAACGGGTGGGGTAACTGAGGCACAGAGAAGTGAAGTCGCTGGCTGGAGGTCACCCTAGTTGGGGGGGGGGGATCTCTGGACAACAGGCAGGAAAGCGCTTTGCAGACTGTAGAGGGAGGTGCCAACCTAAAGAACCCTCTGAGCAGTCAGAAAAGGCCCAGGGCTGCCCCAGATGTCCCCGCCTAGAGCGCCAGGCCCCTCCTTGCCTCCGTCCTGCGGATGGTCAGCGAGCCATTCTGCAGCTGGTGCCGGAGACGGCTGCCCCGCAGCGGAAGGCCGTCTTTGATCCAGTGGATGTCAGGCGCCGGGTCTCCGTGGACCACACAGTCCAGGCGGAGGCTGCCCCCCACAGGTTCCACCAGGTAGGAGAAGGCTTCCCCTTGTAGGACAGGAGCCTCTGCACAATGTGACATCAGACAAGGGGTCAGAGAGGAAGATCCCTTCAGGCCCAGCCTCCCGTAATCCTGTCCCCAGAGGCCTGTCCCCAGACCCGAGGAGGGCTGAGTACAGCCAACACATCAGGGATGGCAAACAGCTCCCACGTGATGGGTCAAGCGAAACAGCGGCTGCCAGGAACGCTGCTGAGAAAGATCTGAAGCCGAGTGGGAACAGTGTGGTGATTGATTAGTGATGTCTGAGGCAGGTGCAGGAGGGCAGGCAATGCAACGAGTGTCATATAGCCGCTCTCATGGACTAATTACCCCTGCTGCAGGGTGCCTGCTGGGGACTTTGGAAAACAAGGACCACGTGGTCACGAGGACCCCTCTGCTGTCCACAGCAACACCACGACGTCCCTGGCCCTCATCTCACTCCAACCTTAAACCACTCGTGAATGGCTGCACCGGTGCCTCCCCTTCCTGAGGTGACTCTACCAACAGCAGCCGCTGTGTCCTGGTGCCGGGGCTGCTCATTGCCCTCCATCAAGCCCCACCCTACCCGTCCTGAAGTTGAGCAAATTAACTCATGGTCAGCACCGGTTACTGTGCCGCTGCTGGCTGCACAGGGGGCCACGGGCGGGCTGGCAAGCTTCATGCGTGTTCCTGCCAGAGTGCCCTGGCCCCCGGGCCTGCCTCCCACACGGGCCCCATCTAGCTGCTCGGTCAGATCCTGCAGGCTGACTGGTCAGATCTGCATTCCACCTGCAGCCAGGCTGTCCCGGGGATTAAAAATCCCTCTGCTGGGTCCCTCCCCAGGGAGGCGGGGCTACTGAGTTAGGGTGGACCCGGGGCCTCCGAGTTTATGAAGCCCCAGGGGGTGCTATGTACAGCCGGGGTGGAGAATTGCTAGTTCCGAGGTCAGGAGGCCAGTCTCAGAGGGAGTCCAGCCGGTCTCGAGTGAAAAGCCCAGGGCTCGTGCCTCACCCTTCACGTGGACGAAGCTGACGGCCTGCACGCGGCCCACTCTGTTCTCAGCCCAGCAGACGTAGGTCCCGCTGTCCTCCCTGCTGACCGCCACCCTCTGCAGCGTGCTGCCCCCGTCCAGTTCGGACACGCCCTCTGTGGCAAAGAAAGAGACCTCTCAGGGTGCCCTGGACTTTGGCCTGACCACCCAGCAGGTGCCTAATAAAGACACAGAAATCGGGGGCCCTTCTCCCTGGGGGCGCCTGGCGAGGGGGGAAGCACAGGCCGCCTCAGAGGATGTGGGTGAGGGGCCGCCTTTCTCGTTTCCAGGTCCACACTGGGAGCTGGGTGAGCGGTCAGGGCAGGTCTCCGGGTGCCTGCTCCCGTGGGCCTCCCCATGAACACGGCGCCCGTGGACGCCTGCTATCCCCGCTTCACGGGAAGGAGCTGGGCTCAGAGAGCCTGGATCACTCGCCCCAGCTCCCACCCAGGAAGCGGGAGGGTCTGGGGGGGGGTGGTAAAGCCGTCTCCTGGCTTAGGGGGGCCTGAAATGTCATTTTGCAGTGACTTTCTGCATTTCAGCGATTCAGCAGACATTTACTGAGCACCTACTATGCAGCCTTCAGGCCCCTAAACATCACCTGGGCCCCGTAGGAGCCAGAGCCCTCAGGAAAGGGGTTTGCCGTGGGCCCGCAGTGGGCGCCGCGGCCCCGGGTGTAGCACAGGCCCGCTCCAGGCCCGAGGTCCCCAGGGTGGAGTCTTTTTTGCAGGTGGCTTCTTGCCAGGTCTGACGCGTGACAGACACCTATGGCCAAACACGGGTTTGCCCCAACCGCCCTGCCCAGGGCCAAGTCTGGAGACCCAGGACCCACAGCACTAACACCCTCTACCTCCCTGCCAGTGTGGGCTCCCCCTGCTGGGCCTCCGCAGCCTCCCAGGGTCCCGTGCTGTCCACCAGCCCGCAGCTGGCCCAGACCTGTGACTGGCCGGTCGTTGACGGTCCAGCCAATGCGGGGGGTAGGGCTGCCCCGGGCCGCACAGCGAAGCCACAGCCTGTCCCCGGGGCGCAGGCTGCGGTCCCCAGGCAGGGTGGTGAAGACGGGCAGCGCCAGGATGGTGAGGTGCACCCGGCGGCGGGCGCGGCCTACGGGGTTCTCGGCTGTGCAGGTGTAGGTGCCAGCATCCTGGCTCTGTGGGCAAAGGGAGGGGTCAGCGAGAACTGCCCCCGCCCCCAGCCAGGGCCCCGCAGGTTCCCACGGGGCAGCCAGCCAGAGGCGGCGAGCTGCCCGAGGTCCCTCAGCTGGCACAGGGCTCACTGTACCTCTGCGGCCCCGCAGCTTCCTCCTCCGAGCCCTGACCGCGCCATCACGGCAGTTTCCGTTCACCGAGAGCCTACCCCGTGCCGAGCTCTGTGCTCAGAACGTGCCCTGGACCCGCCCATCCATACTAACACGGTCCCTAGGAAGCTCCTGCTTTTGGCGACTTCTCCAAAAGGAAGCAGGGCCAGCGCCTCACCACTGCACCACCCAGCCTCCCCTGGGGCAGGGTCTGCGGTGCCCTGAGCCCCCTCAGGTGTGTCTGAGCAGCCGCACATGTGGAGAGCAGCCCGTTTTGTAATTACAGAATCCGCTAAGTGCCGATGGGGAAGGGGACGGGGTCCCCACCTCCGGTCAACATCCACACGAAGCTGAGGACAAGCAGGCACAGGCTGGGGACACAGAGCCATGGCCATACCCTGCCCCTGTCCGGGCTCCCTCCCTCCCCGGGAGCTCGTCCGGGGGTCCACGTTCAAATCGTGGTTCTGCTTGGGAACAGCGTGACCTGGGGACACTCAGAGCCTCGGTGTCTTCCTCTGTTCCCGGGGACGACGACACCTGTCTTCCCAGGATCCTGGGCGGAGACTGCACAGCGCTCAGCACGACGAGCAGGGGGTGCAGCCTGCTCACCACTCCCCCTGTTGCCAGGGCTCCCCTCTGTGCGCCGGGCGGAGTCTCACCTCCGAGTTCCTCACCAGCAGCTGCCCGGATGGCTGGATGCTGAACTTGCCCTCAGCTCCCGACACAGGCTGGCCGTCCTTTTCCCAGGTGATGTCCGGCTCGGGGCTGCCCCGGGCGGTGCAGGGCAGGAGGGCGTGGGAGCCTTCGGTGGTGGCCAGGTCGGGGAGGCCAGTCTCGATCACGGGAGGAACTGTGGGGACAGGAAGGCCCACTCGGGGACTGGGGCTGGGTGAGGGTGGGCTGCTCCTGCCCCCGGGCCCTTGGCAAACCCCTCAGTCCCTTCTTTCACCCCCATCTGCTGCTTCCACCAACTCTCTGGGCACAGACCATGGCCCATGGTCTGGACAATTGGGGGCTCGAGTTTTCGGAAGAGCTGTGAGAGGGTGGCCTCCTTGCACACACATGCACGTGCGCATATACCACACGCACACACATGCAGTGACTACAGCTTCTGGACAGAGGCCTCCCTGGCCAGGCTGCACGTGGGCACAGGTCCCTTCTGCTGGGCGCCTTCCTCCCTGGGGAGGAGCTACGTGGGGGCAGGGGGCAGGGGGCAGGGGGCAGGTCACTGGCCCGGCAGGCGTGGTGCCTGGCCCTCTGGTGACCGCAGTGATGCTCCGAGGCGCAGGGAAGAGGAGCGCACTGGGCCAGGAGGCTGGGGAGGAGGCCTGGAGCCAGGCGCCCCTCGGGGCTCCCAGCCAGAGTCCGACCCCAGCTGTGCACAGCCGCCCACAGGGACAGCCCCCAAGCTGCCCCCAGAGCTGGCCCTGGGTTACAGCAGGCCCGGCCCACACTGAACATTCCCGGGTGCCGTGCGGATGTGGGGCCAGCGATGCCTCCTTTATCTCTGGAGACCGCCATCATCAGACTAAGGCGAGCACACGTGTAACGGTGCTGGTGCAGGAGGAGGGACAGAAGTGACTGTTGCTACAGGAACGAACGAGGGCTGATGAGATTAGTGTCCCATCAGAGGCTGGGAGTCAGAGGCACCGAGTTACCATCTGAAGTCAGACCTGGGCGCAACATTTTCTCCAAATTCCTTCTAGACCCACAGACGGTGCTGGGGTACCCCAGGGAAGATGAGGTCTCCGGGCTCAGAGCCAGCGGAGAAGCGAGGGGCCCTTGGGAGCCTCGAAGCCCCTAGCTGGCCCCTAGCTGGCCGGGTCCGCCTCGGCCCCTCCCCGGGCCCACCTTGCACCACCAGCCGCGTTTTGCCCACGGCACTGCCCGCGCTGTTCTGGGCGATGCAAAAGTAGTTCCCGGCGTCCTCTGGGCGGGCGTGGGTGATCCGCAGCTGTCCGCTGGGTAGGACCTGGGTATCCCTTCCTGGATTGAGTGGGGAAAAAATGGGGGCTGGGGCCGAAGGACCCCTGAGGAGGGCAGGAGGGTGGCCTGGGCTGTTCCGTCAGGTCAGGCAGCAGGTGACACACCGCGGTCACGGGGTGATGCGGGGACAGAGGGAGTGTGGAAGCTGGACCCAGAGCCCAGCCAGGCTGTCCCCTCTCCGACCTCCAGCCCAGCCACCGAGCGCTCAAGCCGTCTCAGGCCGTGGGTGCAGGAGGTGAAGGGGGGTGGGCAGGTCTGCAGAGGCCCCCCGGTGGGGGGAGGACCCCAGCCCCTTCTGCCCTCCTCCCTAGGGCTCTGGGCTCAGTGCAGACTCACCCTCAGGGATGCTGAGCCCCTCCTTCTGCCAGGTGATGCTGGGCCGGGGGACACCCCAGGCCGCGCAAGGCAGCAGCACCTCCTCCTCCACCAGGGCCCGGACCGCGCTGGGCAATGGCTTCACCACGGGCGAGGCTGAAAGGGAACAGGGCTGGGGACCCTTCACACCCAGGCCTCCGTCCAGGGGCCCCGAGCACCGGAGAGAGAGGACTCCAGAAAGGACGGGAGGTTCTGGAAACTGGGGTACGAAGACACGGGAGGGCTGATTTCCTCCCAGAGTCCCACCAGGAATGAGATCACAGGCAGGAAAGGGCATCGGACCTGGGTCCTCATCCCCTGCCCCCCAGCCCCGCCCCCGCCCCAGCCCCAGCTGCTTCTCGCTCTTCACCTGCTCCCCTGCCCCCAGGGCTACAGCTGTCTGAGCCGAAGGACCGGGCCCCCTACCTTGCACGGCCAGGGCCACGTGCTTGCGGGCCACGCCTGCGGAGTTCTGGGCCGTGCAGGTGTAGCGGCCGGCGTGGACGGGGAGGGCCTGCCCGATCTCCAGGGCGCCTGGAGGCGGAAGGGGGCGCGCAGGGGTGAGGGTTCTGGAGACAAGTCCTCAGGGAGGGAGGCAGCCCGTCTTCCATACCCCGACCCGGTGTCTCTGGTCCCGGCCCGTAGGCCTGCCTCCCTGCCCACAGGTAAGCAGCCTGGGGGCACCTGGGTCCAGGCCTGCCTCTGCTCCTGCCCGAAGCCTAGCTGTGGGCAAGTCCCTTCCCCTCTCAGGGCCTCAGTTTCCCCACGTGTGCAATGAGGCATCAGACAGGACGGTCCCAGGATCGGCCACTGCCCGCCTGGAATCCCTGGCCACCCTCAGCTCCCCAGGTCCCAGCACTTGGCTCTTCCAGGAAGTGCCCCGGATTGCCGCCTCCCCTGTCCTCCCTCCTTTAGCCTGGGCTTCTCAACGAACAGTTCACCCTCCTGAGACCACAGGCTGCCCGAGCAGTTACGTGAAGTGGTTTCTAACTGTGTCTCATGAGCCCTGAGAGCCTGCAGGGTGAGCGGGGGAAGAGGACGCCCAGCTCCCCCGGCCCCACCCCCAGGCACCAGGGCTGTCCCACAGGCCGGCTTCCCCTGACCGCTGCCTGAGGGGGCCTCTGGGGCTCCGGGAGAGCTTGAAAGCCACAGACCCGGCCAGCGGTTCCGACTTGAGGATTTCACCAACTAACCAGCCAGTACATTCCACTTCAATCCCCATAAGGTTGCCAACTTTTCTTTTTTGATAAATAGACATTTTATAAGTCACCATCTGCAATCACCCTAATTCCGTAGAAGAAAGAAAAGCTAAGAGAAGCACAATTTCTGCATCAAGGACAGCGCTCTAAGGCAAGCACGTCAAACACGTGGCCGGCGGGCCGCATGCCTCGTTTGTTTACACGCTCGCTAAGGAGATCAAGCTGGCTGTGTGCAAACGCTCATCACTACGGGTGACCTCGCTTTGCCACGGAGCAGCACTCGTTGGCCAACTGTCATCAGAGAGCCACTGCAGGACAGCAGCACCCTAGTGCGCAGAATGGGAGACTGAGGCCCAGAGAGGGTAAGGGGTTTCTCCCAGGTCACACAGCAAGGGAATGGCAGAGCCAGGCTCCCCCACACGGCCCCAGGGGCTGCTATCGCACTCTCTGCCCAGGTCCCTGCCTCCCCTCAGCAGCAGCTTCCCTGGGGTCCCCCTTGCTTACCCGAAGGCGAGACACGGTAGCCACTCCCCCGGGCCCCCAGGGGGAGGCCTGCCTTGCTCCAGGACACCACGGGGGCTGGCACGCCGGAGCTGTGGCACGTGAGGACCACGGGGGCCATCTGGGTCACAGTGAAGTCTGTCTGGTCGTCGGCGATGGTGGGGGGCACTGAAACCCAAGCGCAGGCGTGAGGCCCCACCGTGGTCCCCGGGAGCACAGGGCGCGGCCAGGTGGAGGGAAGCCATGAGCAGAGACTAGGACCCATGGTGAGATGAGTGAGGAAGGGCCACGGAGGGAGGGCAGCAGAGAGGGGTCACACTCGCTCGCTCAGGACCAATGTTTCGACGGCACAGGGACGGTTATGAACTGCTTTCTGCAGACACCAGCCAGGCACCTCGGGGAGCCGGGAGCTGGTGGCAGCTCAGAGCAGGGGGCGTGGCATTTAACCTGAGCCTGGAGCGGCAGGTGTCGGCTGGGTGAAGGGCGAAGGGAACAGTGCTCACGGCAGAGGAACAGCAAGTGTGAAGGCCCAGGGGTGAGGAACAGAAAGCCACCCAGCAGACTGGGTCCCAGAATGAGGCAGTCCATGGGGCGAGCTTAACCTGGGGAGGAGTCAGTGAGCCTCGGGGGCCAGGGTGACACCTCGCATTCTATGAGGACAGGGGGCAGTGGAGGGGGGGATTTTAACCAAGGTGATGACGAGGTAAGATTTGGGTTTAGAACATTTGGATCAGAAGAGGTGTCTCCTGCGAGCTCACACGTGCCAGGGACTGTGCTGGAGCTGGGGTTATGTCAGTGTGAGCAGGGTGTGATCCGGGAGGGCCTCCCGGAGGAGGTGGCCCGTCCCCGCCCCAACTCACCGTGGATGGTCACCTGGTACTGCCTGCGGGCCTCTCCCACCTCATTGCTCACCACACACTCAAACTGGGCTGCGTCCTGGGGGCCGGGGGCTGCGAGGAGTAGGGCGTTGGAGGGCAGGAGCCTGGGACGGACGGACAGACAGACAGACGGTTGGCTGCTGAGTGACAGGCCTGGCTGACCTGAGACGAGCCAGCCATGGCCTCCCTGCCCTGCGAATCTAGAAGGTTAAGGGGTGTGTATGGGGGTGGGTGGGGGGGTGTCTCATGACTATTTTCCTTTCCTGCCTCTGGCCCCTAGCCCTGGTTCTAGAAGTTTCTCTGAGAAGTTTCCACCTCCAAAGGCCTAGTCAGGGGGCCGTTTCCGCTTTCGTCCTTGTTTCTCTATAACCTCCATGCTGCCTGCCCATGGTGACAGCTTCTCTAACAGCAGCCGCACCCCCGGTCGTCCCGCTGTCTCCTGAGACCTGCTGAGCGGAGGCCTCCGCGGTGACCTGGCACCGGGCACAGAGAACGCCTGGCCAGTTACCCATGAGCTGGCCCTTCCACGCCCCCAGCGACCACTCCCGCATCAGCCACATTCGAGAAGCGGGGAGACCCAGGCTCCAGCGGGGACCCTGGGTCCGGCGCACCAGCATGAACTTGGGCTTCAGGAATGTTTCTAAGCTGTGACTGTCATGGCTTTAAAGGTCGTGTGTTTTCTGCTTGGCTGTCTCTCAAATGCCCCCACGCCCTACTGGACATCTCAATGCGAAGGCCCCCCCCCCGCCCGCCACC